AAGGGTCGCATTGCAGTCCAAACCACAGGAAGCCAAATATTATGAGGCAAATTCCAAATCATTTCTGGTGTTGTCAGAGATACGCTTACAGCTTGTGGCTGGGCTTTCACTAAGTTTATGGAAAACAAAACAAAAATGTGTGGGAGTTTGATTTGTTTTCACTCAATGGTGTCCTTCTTTCCCAGGATTCGATGACTTCCACCTCTCAATCCACAGCGACATGGCAACAGTTGCTAAGGCCATGGCCTGCCCAGAGTCAGGTCTGGAGGTGCGGGACAGGATGTGGCTCAAGATAACCATCGCTAACGCCTTCATCGGTATGTCAGTTAAAGCAAAGGGCATGATCCAGCATTTGTTATTGACTTCATCAGTATGCATGCACACCAAACTCTGATCTTTATTTGCTTTGTTCCGTTTTTAGAAATGGTGTGTCTCAGTGAAAGCCTCTTGTATGAATTCAGAATGAACAATAAACATCTAAATAATGTTGATCTGCAATGATAACTTGAGAAAAAAGTATCTCCTATTGTTGGGAAAAAAGTTGCAAAAATGGCAGAGAATGCTCTTTTCAACCTCTTTGATCTCAAGATGTACTGTTTTTATCTTATTTAAAGTTGAATATCATAAAATAAGTGTTTTCTGATACGGCTTCATTGCTAACCTAAACAGTCCAATTTCAATCGTAGACAGAAAAGGGTCACATAAACCTAGCTGATTCAATTTATATTATTTTTATATCAGGAAATGTTTCCAATGTGATGAGTAAAAAAAACAGTACCTAAAACGTGTTCGTCTTTGTGTCCTCAGGCTCTGATGTGGTGGACTGGCTCTTCCATCACGTAGAAGGTTTCTCAGATCGCAGAGAATCCCGTAAATACGGCAGCAACCTGCTGAAGGCCGGCTTCATCCGACACACCGTCAACAAGATCACCTTCTCTGAACAGTGCTACTACGTCTTCGGTGACCTCTGTGGCAGTAAGTGGACGCTAAGCTAAACCTATAGCACAAATAACAAGTTCATCAGTGGTGTATGACTGTGGAAAACGAAATCTGTTTTTTTCTTCTCCTCCCCTAGACATGACCCATCTTTCTCTGCACGACCATGATGGTTCAAGTGGGGGTGCTTCAGATCAGGACATTCTCCCCCCTCTGCCTCATCCCGGGGCAGCCCCCTGGCCCATGACTCTGCCCTATCAGTTCCCCATCCCACACCCGTACGACATGCAGCAGCCCCTCCATGGTGGACCAGGCGCCGGCAGCGCAGGAAGCCAGCACAGCGGTGAGTGACGAACATTCAACATGGAATAAAGAACAGATCAGTGAGAATTGGTGGAATAGAAAATAAATGCCATATCAAAACAGTCACCCCCTATAGACTTAAAACCTGTCTGTTTTTAAAGTTTGTATTTTGCTCCTTCTCAAAAAACAGCATCAGCAGTGAGGTCGAAACCATGTCAGTTTCATGTTGGAAACATTTATAAAAATGTCTGTAGGCACTGCCTGGAAATTCCTCTTCCCAATTATTCAATCGATGTTCTGCAAACACTATGTTGTACAGCTTGGTTTCAAAGACATCCTCGTCCTTGAGCTTTTAAAATTCAATATTACAATATTTATTTAAACCCTTTTCAAGTCTACAGAAGCATAGACTTTGGCAGAGTTTCATTTTGCAGGGTTTCCGTGGGGTCTTAAAAAGTATTAAAAGTTGATAAATCAATTTAGCGAAAATTAAGACTATTAAAAAGTATTAAACGGCATTTTCCAAGGTATTTAATTTTGTAGCTTGTTTTCATTAAGTATATAAATTGTCCAAAGAGGTTGTATTCTACAGTGTGCCTGAATGTAATCATTGCGTAGGTGTGTAGTGTGATTCTGTGTAGTTTATTTATGGCATCCCGTTGGATTTGACGTCATCTGAACAGGACATCGCACGCTCACTGCTTGATAGCGCGCGAAGGTCCGTTTACGCCGGTTGTTAAAGAACATCGTTATGGGGAAATGCAAGTTTGCGTCCAAATGGTTGGAAGATAAGGAAGAAGGACAATCAATAATGTATATAGTAAATGTGAGGTAAAGTGTGTCGCCAATGTAACCGGTTAAAACTCCAAGTGGCGATGAGGTCTTGAAATGTATGGAAAGGGTCTTAAAAAAAGTCTTAAAAGGTTTTACATTTGACTTCAGGATTCCTGCATATACCCTGTTTTGAGATGTTGTTTACCGTTTTATCCAAAGCCAGATGAGAAAATCAACATAAATTCTATCTCCACACTTTCTAAAGAGTTATAGGTCTGTCGGCTTGTTTAAATTAGCTTTCTTCAAAGAGCCCTTTCAAGCGTGAACAAATATGTGATCAAACAGCTCCAAAGCAGCCTTATTTACATGTTTTATTTGTGTGTTTAACATGCTTAGGAATAGAACAACAACAGCTGGGCCCACTGGCTACGCAAAACACCACAGATGTCGAGTCTTTATTCTGTTTTTGCACACTACCATTGAATATACTGCTGAATAGTTAAACAGGGTACAACATTCACATTAGAGTTGATATACTGTGAATTGCTTTTTATGGAATCTTTCTCTAGTCCTCATAGTCTGGGCTAAGCTGATTCCAAACACCCTATCTAAAGACGTTAGATAAAATATATTTTCATACGTATGTGGGTTTGATGACAACAAGCATGCTTCTTATAATGTTAGAAGGTTCCTTTTAGCGTAGACATGGTTATGGTTTTAAATGAATCAGCCTAGAGAACTTCCCTCTAAAGCAAGCAGGCTATTTTGTGGTAATAAAATGAAAACATTTAATTGCCTTCAGTAATGGCTGGGCTGTTTGGCCTCTGAAAGGCAGTGGGTGCTTGGTGAGCATGTCTGCATTAGTCATGCATCTCTCCTGAGAGTCTCCCACTAACTGGGTCAGTACTGCGTCACTTCACTGGCGAACAGATGGGTGGGTGAGAGGCTCATGTAGGTCACTCTGCTTTTAAATAAATGCAAAGTGTCAGTTAATTACACACTAATATTATTAATATTCTTTCTTGTTTCTACAGGAAGCAGCGGCTCTAACTGCAGTAAGAATGAGGGGAAGAAGTCCAGTGGCAGTGAAAATGAGATCAGGAGCCACCGAGCTCCCAGCGAGCGCTCAGTGGCCCCCCCTAGTGAGCGCAGCATCCGTAGCTCTGTCAGCCACCGCAGTGCCAACTCCCACTCAATAGCCTACGCTCAGGGCCTTGTCTACGGCCCCCCCGGGCTGCCGCCCCAGCCCCCACATCTCTCTACATCTGCACCTGGCGCCCCTCCAGGCAGAGAGCTCACCACCGTGCCCCCTGAGCTCACTGCCTCACGCCAGTCTCTGCGCATGGCGGTGGGCAATGCCGGAGAATTCTTTGTTGATGTGATGTAACGAAGGTTGTAGGCCGATAACAAAAGTAGCAGATTGGGCTTTCCCGTGTCATTATGAGACTGGGAAGAACCGGAGGGAGGGAAGATTGCAAAAGCTGTAACCCAAGGCCTTGATTCCACTCTCCTAAAAGCAGAAGTGGAACCAACACTGTTGTGTATGTTGAGAGAAAATGTTCCTCCTCCCTTGTGCTTTTCTTCCTAGTAGTAGTGACAATACTTTCTTCAGTGAAGAAGCCCCCTCGCTCAAGATGGAACCAAAGCGCCTTTCTGAGTTACCCCTCTTCAGTGGGGGAAGAGTTTGCGTTAGGACAAAGAGCAAGAGAGGAAGGGAGGCGGTGGAATTGGACAGCTGGGGAAAATGACTCAGCGTTTTCTACATGGATGTTTTTCATTTGTTCTCTTCACTCTTCCCTCTGCCTGCCTCCCTTATCTAACACACTCTGTCCTCCCCCACCCCTGTACACGTCAAAAACTGCAAGAAAGAAGCTTCTTCCCTCCTTCCGTTCTTTCAATTCACCCCTGCTGACCTCCTAACAAAGAAAAAAAAGCTCAGATGAACACTAACTGTTAACCTTATTCAGACTTTTAAAATGTTTGCTTGACTTAAGAGAGAAAGAAATGGATACATGTGTATGTAGTGCAAAAGAACCGAAGTCCTTCTAACTGTAAGAATGCATTTGTTTTATTATATACGTAGTTGGTCACAACTAGTTTCATTTTACAATCTAAACATGAGCATTCAGCTTAAAGAGTCATTTTTACACGACACAGCTGCATTTTCATCTGTCAACCAGAGCATTTTAAGACTCTTTCTTGTGATAATGTATAGTCGGGAAATATTTCTTACCATGTCTTTCACACTACTCTTTTATCAAGGAAAAATTTCTTTTTATTTATAAATATAGTTTTATGACTTAACTTTGCTTCGTTGTTATGTTTTTATTTGAGTGTGTGTGTGTGTGTGCATATGCTTGTTAAGCAGTATTTTTCAATCCTGTGTTTTTTTTTGTTCAAGTTAACCGGGGTCATGTTTGCATTCAAAGGCAGTGGATTCCACACTGTCCAAGATTAGGAATGTGAAGGTTAGGCAATCTGGTGCACAGATGTGTGTGTGTGTGTGGGGGGGGGATGTGGTTGTGTGCAAGTGATCAGTCTTGTCTGTGTACATTTAGACTGGCTTTAGAACTAAATGACCCGAGGCCAAAATGCCCTATGGTTATAGAAGGGGGGGAAAACTCATGTAGAGATGGTTTAATTCAACTTGGACAAACAAAAAAAAGAAGTGTTGCATCAGATGGACTCTGCAGGACAGGATTCACCAAGACCACCCACACAACCTAGTTTTAAGGATAAACACATTTTATTTTTGCATTCAAGGAAATTAGGATTATTGCACACAGAAGGTGGGAGTTTAGGAGAGACTAAATGAATACCACTGTGTTACTCAACATTTAATGAAACAAGTTGGATTTGTGCCAACATTCTCCGGAAAGTCCATTTTCAAAAGAGGGCAAGCCCCCCGTGCTGCACTGTATAGTTACACAAACATAACGCTGAAACAAATAATTGACCAGTAGCCCGTTTAGCTTATCATAACAGGGCCTGGGTGCGGTTTACACATCGCTCCAGCCGCGCCTTTTCCTGTCACAACGGAACGGCTGTGCGTAAAGACGGCGGGTCAGCTGACAGCTATCAGAGAACCGGGAGGAAGGAGCGGAATTAGCGGGTGTGTGAACTGGGAAGAGACTGGAACCTGGCAGAAGCTATATCCGAGGACAAACGGGGAGCGAAAGACTGGTGGCGTTCGTGAGAGAACTGGGGTAAGTTCACCATAGTCGAGACGGTAACATGTTTCTCGTCAAAAATGATCAACTGTAGCGAAATAAACGTTTCTGGAAGCCGGGGAAACTGTTACAATCGCGTTCGATGCTAGCATTAGCATTGTTAGCTGCCGCTCTGTTGGCTAACGTCAAGCTAGCAGCGGCAGGTACTATGCTAACCGACTAGAGGCTTCTTTTCTACTCAATATAAAAGGACACAATATGCAATGTATGTACTTTCTTAACGGGTTGATGTATTTGTGAACAGTCAGTGTTATACGTTTACATTTATAATGTGTATGTTGTCGTTAATTAATAGTATTGCGTTTGAAAGAGTCGTCAACAGGTCTGGTTTTCTTCACCGGAAGTCCATTTAAAATTCCGCACGGCTCAACGCTGCTTCGCCGAACACCACCGCCAACTCGCCTGCTATCGTAAGCTAAATTAGCTAGCTACCTCTCACTTGGTCTATTCTCCATCACTTTGAGCTGAAGGTCAAGTCTCCATCAGTATTGTAGCCACTTAAGAAAGCTTAAAACCAAGTGGTACAAGCAAACATGTCCCCCATCCGTCGATGAGACATTAGAAAATATGAAAAATGTATGAACGTTAGGAAATGGCCCGAGTGAGCAGACATCTTGACTTCGACCAATAAAAGGGCGATTAAAACTACTCATGTCTTGTGCACGAATTATTCGGTCACGACCCGGTCAAGTCTTTATGGTGACATTATTTTATCATCTTGGACATGGTTGTGTTGCATACTTCCTCTGTCCACCGTGTGTTTAAGTTATCTGGCCTCTGTCTTCGAGGAATTTCAAGCATGTCCTTCATCTCCTGGTTTCCAGAAGCTTCATTCTTGAATTAGAAGAAACTGCTATGATTGTATTTGTCTTAGACACATGCAAGCTACTACAACAGCTGCACTGCCTTTAAATGAGATGAATGAAGGTGTCTTTAGGTTTAATCTTACTTGAGATGCCAGATTTACACCTGCTAGTAAAAGGCAACAGATTTGTAGCTGGCTACTTGGTGACATCCTGCTCCAAACTGGTTGCTGCTAATCTGCTGTTAATCTTACTTTGTACAGAAACGAGGATTTGACTGTAGTGTGGGTAGTGGTAGTGGAGTCTCCTCAGCCTTTATCAAAGGGATTGATGATGTGTGTATGCACACAGCTAAAATGAGTCGCCACAGTGGGGCAGCTGCAGGGTATATTCAATTGGCAATAGAGTGATGTGTGTGCGTGAGAGAGAAAGAGAGACAGGAAAAGTGGATGTGAGGGACAAGTGCTTCCCTGTGCTGTTGGTCACTCCCTCACTTTTCACTGCTTTCCCTTCTTAAACATCCCTTTTTTCTCTTTCCCTGTTTCCTTCCTGCAGTCTCTCGCTCTTCTCATGCCGGGTTTGGTTTCACCATGGCCAGTTGGGACTGAGAAGCAGCCAAAATGATCGGAGGATTGTTCATCTACAACCACAAGGGGGAGGTCCTCATCTCCCGGGTCTACCGAGACGACATTGGGTATGTTTCCCAGGAGCAAAACTGCTCTAATATGTATCCTACATTTTTGGGGAGTTCACTTCAAAGAGAAGTGCTTGAATGAGCAGGGGTGAACGGGTTCAGATTGATAATGAAAGGATGAAAGAGGATTATGTAGCTCTTCCAAGCTTAGTAGTTGACATAGGTGTCTTTTGTTTGTTTTGTTATCTCCACGGAAATGTGGTAAATAATTGCGCAAGCCAGGATTACATTTAGGAAAGTATTACTAGCCCTTCGAGAAAAAACACAGTTTTGCTATGATTAGAATGTATTTACAAGTAGAACAAACAGAAGAAATGACGTAGGTATTCTCCCGATAAATGAATAAAAAACACAAGGGACTATGAGAAATAACCACAATAAGACAAAGGTATTGAAATGCGCAATCAGTTAAAAAAAATATTGTTGTTTTCATTCAATATTGTAACATCAGTGGTGATACAAGACACACATTTTTGTATTTATCATAATGGTAATAAGATACAATCATCTTTCTTCACCTTAAATCAAATAATTTCTTAGGTTTTGCATGGAGGGATGCAAAGTAAATAGTTGCCTGGTTGGGGTAAAGGAGTGTTAAAATGGCTGACAATGAATAATCCGTGGCTCATTTTAAATGTTGAGCTAAAAAGAGATTTAAACTAACAACTTAACGGGCTGAGACAGGAGCCTATCCAAAGACGCTGACATTTGATTTCTGATGAAAAATATATTGTTTTGAATATGTGTGGCTAAAACATGACCGATTCATATGAGTATGTAATGGCCAGACGTTCTGTATAAGCTAAAGAATGTGAATATATTTCTTATTTACTGTTTGTCTTCCTTTCCTCTAACTTGTTTGTTTCTTTGTGACACATGTTTGATGTGATTCACCTGTATTGGACATACCCTTTCCCCATGCATACACCCAATTGTCACTTTGTTTTATTTAAACCCTGCCGCATTCATTGATTGATTTTGAGTGCAGGTGTCTCCAGAGCAGACACCATTCCAGTGCCATGTAGATTTACACCGTGAGGGTCGGCAAGGTACAGAGAGGGCACATGGTGTCAGTTATGTAGGTACACAGCAGCTGTGCAGGTCAGTAGGTTATTTGTGTATGTAGACCTTTAAGCCAACATATCATACTCAGTATTTTTGTGATTTAGGGTCCCCACAGTTTCAGACTACATTTGAACATATACCTCTATGAGACATATTGACAGCACGATGCATGTGCATTTGTTATGAAGATGGATACATATGTTATGAATGATCCAGAAATCTAATTGAGGATCTTTCTAACAGCCAAACATCAAGTGCACAATCATAAGACTTATCAAGCCAGCTAATATGACTAGCCTGGTATTGTTGACCGCCCGGCTCCTGTTCTTGCACAAAACAGGCAGCGCATCTTAGCAGCATCCCCCTGCCCTGAGCCTGAAAACCTTCTCTACGCAGCAGACCAAAACTCCTGTGCTAGCCGTGTAAACATCAACACTCGCCCAGTGCTCCCAGTTTGGGCTGCACGGCAACCTGAGCTAACAGCTGATTCGCTTTTTGCAGCTAATAGTTCAGTTAGCATTACTTAGCAGCAGGAAAAACGTTCTGTCCATCAGGAAAAGATGGAGGAAACAAAAAAAGAGAACTAATTTCCCCAAAAATCCTTCCACTTACATGAGCCTTACGCTCTCTCACACATCATGATTTGTCGGCCTGCTCAGCAAAGATAGATAGTGCAAACACTGCCAATCGAGGCACAGAGAGGAACTGACAGATGCCATTCTTCCTCCTACAAGTCAGTGTAGCATCAAAGTAATATAGTCAACTATGATAGGCTCGAAAGCATTTGAAAATGGGCATTCCTTGAATTATTTTGTTGTAGGGTTAGAGGTGCTAAGAAGCCTATGAATATGGGCACAAACAGAGTAGTATATTATGCTTCACTGACTAAGACCCTATTAAATATTCTGTTTGCAGTTTTTTTGACCTACAGGTTTACTTCTGCTACAATCCCTTTCACATTGTTGTCCTGTTTCTATGCAGCAATCTGTAAAATAATGGTGGCTGCTTTATCAGTCCAGTGGTAGCACAGATAATATGCAGCTGCCTCCGCTTCTTCAGACACAGCACAATGCATACTGCAGAATATCACTGATAGGTACTAAAGGAACCAACACAATATTCATGCCATGATAACCACAGTTTATTTTGCCAAATAATGAAAAAAGGAAAACTTGTCATTTTGTGGAATTTCCATAGAGTGCTGCAGATATGATGTATTTTTGGAGGCCAACAGGGAAGTTAGCATTGTTCTATAAACAACAAAAGAACAACCTCTGAAGTCTCACTTAGCCCTTTTTAAAGACGCGTAACAGTTCAAAAGTTAACAGTATTCACTGACATACTTTATGTTTTAGCACAAAAATGTGAAACTCCTTTTAATTATGTTAACAAGTGACCTTGTTTCTGGTATTTAACCAAAACCAATTTAAAAAAAAAAAAAAATGCTAAGTTGAATCCAGGTTTAAGGCGTAATTCCTGCAGCACTCACTAAAAATAAAGATAACAGCAATAGAGTTTTCTTATTATGTTCAGTAGAAAACCTGGAAATCCAGGTTTTGTCTCCACCATGTTCCCACGGCATCATTTGCTAATGGTGATCCGCCCTGTTGCCGCAACACACAGAGTAAACCAGACTGTTTATGTTGCCGCGGTGTAGGGACAAAATGTTGTGTTGAAATCTATAATCGCACTTGTTTTAATATTGCAAGTGAGCTGAAGCAAAAATGGACCCACTTGAAGCAAAAAAGAAGCGGTTTTGGAGTCATACAATGTATCAATATGCACTTGCCATACTGTTGTCAGGCTACAGTAGATTAAAGAGCAATATGTTGTGCTGGTGACTCGTTCCCAACATGTTCAGTTACAATGATGGCATCATAATAAACACCATGTTACTCACTCTGTCTGTGTACACGATGCACGAAAATGTCTCTTGTGCATTTTTGTCTCTCTCCTCTCCTTTTACTTCATCCTTGTTTCCTCTCTATCCTCTGTATCACCATTTTCCTCCATCTGTCCATCTTGGCCCCTGTAGGAATAGGTAAGAGATGCTCGAGCCTATCAAGCATGACCCCTCCCCCGCTCATGGCCACCGATCAATGACCCCCTGAAACCCCTAACTGCATGCCCATTGATTCCACAGACAACTTCCTGATACTTCCTCTGAGCATGAGTCACCTGTCATGACATTGCAGTGGTGATAAACCACCAGACACTGAAGTGCAGCAGCCAATTCAAACAGGCAACACATCCAGCCACTGCCACAGCCATTCAGTGTATTACTAAAGTATTATAAGTATTATTGATACCCACAAGCAGCTTTACCTAAGCATGTTGTCTGAGCATGGGGTATGACGGTTAACGTAGTTCGTACCACCTTTGATTCTGCTGTGAACTTTCACAAACAAATTGGAAAAGTGTTTCGGTATGTAGAAGATATAGTAGATTTAAACTTAGAAAAGGTTTATGGTCACAAATAACCTGAAAAAGTTATTGAATTTGAAATATATTATTTTCTAGGCCTGGAAAGATACTCTTTGGAAAGTGGCTTATTATATCCCAAATTAGATCAAACAACCTCAAACATCAGTGTTTCATGATTTGTTTCATTCTTTTCATTTTAGAGCATATCAAATAGTAGTCTTGAATATAAGATAAGTTTGAGTCAGTTTACACCTCAGGAGGTTTTGGTCTTCCTGTCAGATCGTGCTGCATCCTCTGGTCTAGACCCCGTTGTTTATAAATCCCCATTAGGAAAGGCTGTTTCCCTATAGCATTGTAGCACTAAGGTAAATGTTATCTCACTGATTAGCAGAGTATTCCATTTTATTAAAATAGAGAAAAAATAATCTAAAAGTCAGTTTCTGACAGTATAGGGTGAAAACATCTCTTTGGAGTCTATATAATTAAGTATTATGTTGCTGGGTGTCCTCCTAAACTCTTCCCTCTCCCTCCTGGTAATTATCTGCATTTACACAAAACAACGCTCCTTTTTTCTAAGCGCACAAACTCAAGGTACCCTCTCCCCGTTGGTTGGGAAAAGTTTTGATTATGTTATATTCCTCGTGATGGGTGGATATGCTGTTGAGGTCTGACGGGATTATTTATTTTGAGTCCAGTGCAGAACTGGATATCAAACTCAGCAAATATTCTCACAGGATGTCACAGGGTGGGGTGGTGTTAACAACGGTCTGTTATGCAAAAGCCTGAAACAATTCTCTCAACTCAATCGTCTCTTTCTTTTCCTCTGTCTCCATTTCTCTTTTTTCCCGATCTCAGGCGTAACGCGGTCGATGCGTTCCGTGTGAACGTGATTCACGCCCGGCAGCAGGTTCGATCCCCGGTGACCAACATCGCCCGCACCAGCTTCTTCCATGTTAAACGCTCAAACATCTGGTTGGCGGCCGTCACCAAGCAGAATGTCAACGCCGCCATGGTGTTCGAGTTCCTTTACAAGATGTGTGATGTCATGACGGCCTACTTTGGCAAGATCAGCGAGGAGAACATCAAGAACAACTTTGTGCTCATCTACGAGCTGCTGGATGGTAGGAAACGAAAACTCAATAATGTTTTCCTAAATATAATCGAGTAAATCAGGGAACTGGGCATCTCTGGATCTTATATCAAACTATTATTCTACGTAGTATTTTTTTAATAGTAGGGATACCACAAGAACTGATACTTCAGTACCTATGGTGCTAAAATACTGAACTGTAGTACCGCCTAGCTTCTCTCTCCAATGGTGTCCCAACCTCCCGGGGACGATGGAAAATGTGTTTGGGACGCAGTACACTCTATTGGTTCCATCAAGAAAAGCACACTCATTTTCCCTTATTATGCTACATTATTAAAAGCACATTTGTGTTGTAATCTGCAGCAGGAAAGAAAGTGAACAATAACTGTTAGCTGTCAGACGTGTGTGAACAAGAGGCTCCATAAAAGGTGCATTCAGTATAAATGTGTACTATGCAAAGTTCAATTCTAAAGCTGTCATGATGTGTTCAATGTAGTAAGAAACTTGAAAAAATACAGTTGGTTGAGAAGTTTTCATAGCAATATTAAATGGATATTAGCGAAGGAGATATGACTGTCCAAATCATTTCTGGCATGGTGACAAACCAAACTCAAAGTGACCTGTTTGGCATTATACTAAGCGTATAATGTCAGACTCGGTCAACACTGGTTCTTTCCACTGCTGCGTGCCCTAGAGTCCTCACCCACCTTATCTCTAACCGACAGTTTATCTGTTTGTGTTCACACAGAGATCCTGGACTTTGGATACCCCCAGAACTCAGAGACTGGAGCTCTGAAGACCTTCATCACCCAGCAGGGCATTAAGGGACAGGTCAGTGAGACCAGGGCAGTCTCAAACTGTTAGTCATGAAGGTTTTACAGTCAGTTTATGTTGAAACAGGTGTCTATTAAGATAAATGGGCATTTTAGTGGCTGTTGTTTGTGGTGCAGTTGGATTTTATTGCATCACAGTCAGATTGATGTGCTTATATCGGTGAGGGTAGACTAAATATTATAAACGCCTCTAAATGTCACCCAAGACCTTGAGAATCACGAGTGATAGACGGATGATAAATATGTAATGGGATGTCCAGAGCCTATTTTCTTCATCTGGATTAGGCATAGATATTACACATTGTATTTGCAGTGTCTACAGTGGTGTGATGTAATGCTATAGACACAAAACAACAGGAAGCGATTAGAGGGAATGTGTAATGTTGCGATACAGTAATACAACTAGTAATATTTTGTATTTACATTTTATTTTTCTGTTCTCTCCTTGTTTGCAATCCTCAACTCTGCATCATTCAGCACCAGGTAAGAACCGACGTTCTAAGGAAATTATTTGTATCCACATGTGGAACCATGTCTGTCGGCGGTCTGCTGTTGTTAGTGGTGCTACAGTTTCTCTCCCTGTCTCCCAGACAAAGGAGGAGCAGTCTCAGATCACCAGCCAGGTGACGGGGCAGATCGGCTGGCGTCGGGAAGGCATCAAGTATCGCCGCAATGAGCTCTTCCTGGACGTCCTGGAGAGCGTCAACCTGCTCATGTCACCACAAGGTCTGTAAACTGCTGAGCATGCATTATTTATTGAAACTGTATCATTCAGAACAACTGCGGACAGTAGTTAGCTGTGTCTGTGTTTAATGCCACTGTAGTGTATTTATTATTTGACTTTGATGTTAGACGTAAGACATTAATTCATCAATACTTCTCAGACTCTATGAACGATCACAGTTCATAAGAAAATCCAATTATTAGGTTTATGAGTCTTTTGATTGTATCTCACAATCTTCATTTATTTCACTTTAAAGGCTCTCAAATGGAAAGTCAGAGCAGAATGATTGCAAACTGACTGCTATGAACATACTGACAGCCGAGCAGGAGGCTAGCCGCTAACAGTGTTACCCTTAAAGGGGAAACTGTAGACTGGGCGTTCTGTTTGCCGTTACATGCTGTCGGTCAGGACAAAAGTGATTGGCTGTAAGCACCGTGTGAGAGCAGCGCTGAGCGGAGTCCATTAGCAGCCAGTGGGACATGCATACGGACTCTAGCGCACAAACATACATGAGCAACAAGCCGTTTGTGTTTAAAGCATAGAGACGTTTGAATTACAATAAACACAGGGGGTCCGAGACTAAAACATGACTCCACTATATCTTCACATAGCAAATGGTTGTTTCCTGTGTTATTAATGTTGAGTCTTTAAAAGAGAGCTTAGAGAATTAGAGTTTAACAACCAAATGGAGGAAAAACAGATGTTGTGGTGTGTCCAGTTTGAGACTCACGTTATTCCCCCTCCTCTCCAGGCCAGGTCCTGAGCGCCCACGTGTCGGGCCGAGTAGTGATGAAGAGCTACCTGAGCGGGATGCCCGAGTGCAAATTTGGCATGAACGACAAGATTGTCATCGACAAGCAGGGCAAGGGAGGAACGACGGAGGACACAGGGAAAAGGTCAGTGAAGCATCGAGCAGACGGCAAAATGTTTATATCAAATCAACTATACTTTTAAAAGCAAGGCTGAAAATCATTTGGATAATTTGCAAATTCCGTTTCTTTAAGAATGTTACTTTTTAAGCTTGAACATGTATATTCACTGTTAAGTCAAAATGTAAGAGACCACCTCGTCCGTTTAAGCCCTGTCTGTGTTATGAGTGTTGTCTGTCCTGCTGTTTGCAACAAGACAGCTTTTACAATTTATTTTTCATTTTTCTTTCCTTTGGATGCGTCCCTCCTTTCTTTCCCTCTCTTTCTTTTCTATGTGCTGTACCTCAGTGATTTAGGGGGAGGAAGGTACTGTACTGACAAGTGTCCTCACCTTCTGACACACACACACACACACACACACACACACACACACACACACACACACACACACACACACACACACACACACACACACTTATCTTGTTGAAGCACATTAAGGCCCAATTCCAACGGTTTCAAATCAGCATCTCTTGGACAACATTTTTAATGAATAACTAAAATAAAACTCCAAACATCTTTAATTGTGTTATAAGCTTCTTAGTTTTTTCAACATTCTGTAAATATACACAACTTTATACTAAAAGGCATAGGTATGACTAAACACAGGTATGGTCCTAAGTTAAAAACATATGAGGTTGTAAACAGCGTGCTTCCTGACGGACACACACAGCGTTGAGAGCGGTCAGGTAGGGCAGCACGTGAAGTCAGCACCGATGCAGACTCGCTGTTTGAGGGCTTGATAACCCACTCCCCCTCCACACTCGTTGGTTTGGAACAGCACCTAATGTGGCGGACCCTCCGCGCAAACGTAGGGGTAGTGTGTGTAGGGGTAGTGTGTAGGGGGTGGATTGGAATTGGGCCTAAGAATCATCTCATGCACTCAATACAAATCAAACACTCCATGTTAAGTA